CCTTAAAAAATCTTATAACTTATAGTAAGATCTTTGTGGAATTAGAGCTAGCATTTCTTTTAGTAAATTGATTCTAATAGTATCAACTATCAAAAATGATCTCAAAGAAAGAATAATATTACAAAAAAATCCAAGAATATCAAAAGAATAATAAGAGTTGAAGTTATTATATTTAAAAAGTTGTGTATAGATTATGTTGGATCCATTTATCATATATATTTATATAGAATGCAATACATTATTATAGCTACAAAATATTTAATCAAGTGGGCAAAAGAAAAAATTGTCAAGATAATAAATGCTAAGTAAATTGCTATATTTTTGCACAAGAGTATTATAATTTATTTTTATTATTTAAATTTTTTATTAGTGATAATATTATTTATTTTTAAAATAAAATTATTAAATAAATAACTACCTTATTTACCATCAATCATAGAAAAATTATTCTCTATAATTCTCAAATAAATGAGCTTAGAATAAATAGTCAACCAAATTTTGATTTACATATTGAAAAAAACTATGATGGATTCTAAGTTTGATTAAAATCTCAAACTTACATTTGCCCTTTAGGCTTATTAAATTACTTACAAAGCTTCTACAAGGACCAGACTTTTTTCTTTGGTATATAAAATAAAAGCCATTCTACCTATAGAGTTTGAAGTTCTATCCTTCTACATTGTCATTGACAAAAGATTGATACTTTTCAATCCTTAAAAGAACAATTAGAATATTTAGAAAAACCAAGTAAAACTCCAAGATTTGTAGCCTTACATATAAAAACTACTTAAAGAAGAAGAAAGAAGATATTTGATAAAAATAAATGAAGAAATGTACTCTTAATCTAAAAATGTAGATGATGGTCTAAGATACTAAAAAAAATAGAATTTCCAATGAAGTTTGATGATCTTTGGACATGACTGTATATTATCAAAGAAATCTTTGATAATAATTTAGCCCAATTCAAAATGTTAGATAAAAAAGATGCTTTTACACAAACTAATGGAAGTCATCATATAATTATATAATCTCCACTTTAAATGTAGATAGAAATATGAGTGTTATTCTATATTGAATCAGTAACTAAGTAGGAAGTTGCTCCATATGGAAACATGTTGAGCCAAACACAAACAATTGTTTTGTTTTTGTGCATTTTTTATTTTTATTTTCTTTCTAGATCAAACTGTGTGTATTTTATTTTTTATTTTGTATTTTTTTAATACTTTCCTTTTTTTAATAAATTAAAAGAAGTACTAATAACTTTTGTAATTTCTTCTACTCTTTTCTATATAGACTGCATCAAAGGCAAGAGAAATAGACAAGGTTCATTTTTTTATCTGTTTACTATCTACTCTTCAAGCTTAATCTGCTCTAATCCAAAGTGTTAAATAGGCAACAGAAAAATAGATAAAGCTCATTTTTCCCTTACATAAAAAGCATTATATTTTACTTATTCATACAAACTGTTTTGTATGAATGAGAATTGCATTTTATTTTTTAATTTTTTTCTTTCATATTTATATATCCTATACTTAAACCGTGAACCATGAAGAAACGAGAAAGGAACCTCTTTGGCTTCCAAAAGTCACCCACAGTTTTCGTTCCATCGCCATCTTCTTAGGACGGTTGTAGATCCATGTGACGGCTAATAGTCTCACAAATCGTCGATTGGTGATAGGAGTATGACAGTCATTCAAACATTGGACGGCTTGGATCGGAACCCAACACCGTTGGAATCAGGTCGTGTTTTCGAAATGGCTCGCTGTCTCCCTCAATGTCCTAACATTCGACTCTCTCTTCTCTAATCTTCCTCGATTACAATCTGTTGTTGGCGTTTTTGCATTCTGCTGTGTAGCAGTTGACCTGCCCGGTACGTCTCAAGACCTCTAATCCGCAGTTTTTTTGTTTTTGTTTTGTTTTGTTTTTTTTTTTTTCGTATTCTGTGGGATGTAGCTTTTCTATCGATTATTAGACTATGTGCTGTTTTAGGGTTTGGTGACCGTTTTGTGGAGGGGGTAGATGAAGTTGATGAATCTCCATTCTCGCCATGCGTCATCCTTCTTGTTCGAAGCCGAAGCACGAGCTTCGGGCTATCGCGGATAGTGGCATCGGGGGACTGGCTGAGCGTGTTTCTGGTAACGTGGTGGTGTCGTTTTCTGTCTGCGTGAAGCGAAATTTAAGATACTGGGAAAATAGGGCGTAGTTTTTTTCGTGCACGATGCTTGGTTTTGCATTCAGAACCTGGTCAATCCGTTCGAAGATTTCCTGGATGTTATTGGTCCGGGAGTGTTCAGCATAGTTCAGGAATAATTAGTCTCATGATCCAATCAGGAATCTTTAGGGCATGTAGCTTCTGAAACTTGTGAAGCAGATCAGACGCCCGAAATTGGTTGTCAGCAAGGTTGATCGTTTTGAACCTCCCGTGTACAATTGTCTCACATTGGCTTTAGTGATCGATAATTTAGTTGTATGAGCATTGGGGGAACCTTTCAATGATTTGGTGATAATGAAGTCACTACTGTTTTGATCCTAAAAGTAATACATGTTAGCATTTGAAGTTGCAGTTATTTTGTACAGAGATTGGAAAAGAACTGGTGTATTTCTAAATGCAAGACCCTGCCACTTTCTAACTCTGGGACTTCATGGGTGGATGATTCTGGTTCAAAGTCCATATTTGTACTATCTCTGTAGAATTCCCGGGCTTGGATTTGTTGTATAATATATTTGTCAGAACGTGGTCGAGTCTCTTTTCGAGGCAGATGAATGCATAATAACAATCATACTTGCAGCTTTGCTGTGGTGTTGCATTCTTCACTGGATATATATATATAGATAGATAGATAGATACATAGATAGATAGATAGAGAGAGAGAGAGAGAGAGAGAGAGAGAGAGAGAGATTCAGCGTTCATTGAACTGTTTGAGATGTTTATACTAATTTTAGGACAATTCAGACCTACTACTTCATTGCTGTTAATTCCCAACCTGTAGTGGAGAGAATTCTAAAAATCCGCGTAAACGCTTTAGGAAGGAAGAGACATCGGTTCCTGTCTCAGTTCACATAACTAGCAAATTGTAGTATGTAAACTAATAGATAGTTGTATTTCAATTTGTGTCCTCTTTGTAGAAGATACGCTACAATGTGGTATCACCGCTCGTACTGTGGTCAACCATTTGTGAATGTGTACAGTGGATTTGCGTACAATTCAGTATCCTGAAGCAAGTTTTTGTCTTGCAGAAAGCAGTAAAAGAGAAAAGTGACCATGTTTCTCGGGGGTATACCACGAAGGCCAGACAAGGCTGAGGCCCACAAGACGCTCAAGAAGCATCTTACATACCTTGGCATATGGATATGCGCTATCCGGGTCACACCCTACATTTTTGCACTCGTCTCAAAGCAAGATGAGTCTCTTGAGCTCGACTTCGATTAGAGCTGATCCTTAAATTAGCATCATATAGTTTTAAGGAGATAGATTTCTTGAACATACGTCAGAGGAATCACAGATTACATGGCTGCGGAGCAGTATTGCTGTGTGCTTTTGCGAGCACCAAGCTGTCTTTACTGGATCCAAACATGAAAATGCTTCCGGGTGATTGTTACGAGGCGTACCCATGTTCTGTGGTTTGTGTTTATGAAGTCATTTTGTTGGTTATTTAGCATCTGATTCCTGAACCCTAAACCCTAAACCTTTGGTTTGTATTGTTCTGCATGCGAAATTTTCGTGTGGAATCAGTTCATGAATTGATTTGGCTTTTCGTATTAAATTCATTTCATTGCATGGTGTTAAATTTTCCTCCACACAAGTTTTTTTCAGATAAGATAATCATATAAAGTAAGAAAGAGAAGTGGGTTGCGAAATAAATAACACAAAAGTTGCGGATGGATTAAATTTAATTTACTGTAAGAACTTTCATTTAGCAATTTAGCAATTAATAACTCTGAACAATGCGTTCTTACCAAAGCAGCTCCTACTCACAATTTCGTTCACAAGTTTTTCCTCGGGTGCGGAAGCTTCAAAGGCTGCCTATAATAGAAAAATGAATCAGCTATGTTTCAACGTTGCGGTGTCCACGACTTGAATCTTACACTACACCTTACAGTTGTACGTCAATGCAAACTTCGGAAATACAGTGTTGACTAATAAAGGCACAGAAAGCGCGGAAATCCTGATTGTAATTTCTTGTTCCAACTACGACCGCTGAAAAGTATGATCTCGAACTGAAACTCATTCATTTGTTCACACCCATACCTTGTGAAGCCCCAGGATTGTCGGGACTATTTGCATGTCTGGTCACTCTGCCAGGGCATATTCCATTAATCCGTCGAATTCGCCAGTTGTTCTAGTACCCACCATATAATTGTTTCTCCATGATTGAAGCTGCCACTAACGTAAACAAGCCCATTAAAAACATGTCAACGAGCAGAAGAAATGAGACTCCTGAAATCACTCTTGGTCGAAGAACCTTATCAGGCATTTGAATCTTCTGTGCTAACATGCTCAGAGATAAGTCTCACGACGACAGATGCCTGCGAGCTTTTTACGCACTGAGCACCATTAAAAATACGCGAGATTTGCTCAATCAAGAAAAATCTAGAGGAACGGAGGATTTATTAAGCAGATCTCCTTAGTGCATTATGGGTCTGCATGCTCACGTTAAAATACCACCTGGAATGAATCTCACTATTTGCAGAAATTCTCACTTTCTTCAGATAGTAGCATTTTAGTATGGATCACCCAGCAAGTTAAGTCAATCCTGTCTCCTTTGCTACCTCTTCATTACACACCAGCATCATTGAGTGTTGTGGCAAATTGGGATAAGGATGGAGTACAGTACAAAATGGTTTTCTACATCATGGTTACTTGGTGTAGAAGAAAAGGAAGAAGACACCATCCATCTTACGTCTTTGATCAGAGCTTTTTGTAATGCTTGTGTATCTCGTTCAATGTCGAATGCAAAATGAGTGGATGAGGTTTTAGACATTGTCTCATAAAATACACAGCAAGCCAGAGACTTCACAAAACATGAGAATTGTGGTTGAGGACAAGTTACAAGAAATATGCTTTTCAAGGGCTTCTGATAGGGCAATTCTATAGAAATGCGATCCACTAGTTTGCAATCTGGATTTTGAAATTCGCCTACTCTCTCTCCTCCGTAAGTTGCTATATTATTTATTAATTTATTTTTACTCTGTCTGCACACAACTTGCAACCTCACCGTTAAGTTTTTCTAAGTCTGGATTGTTTGACGGTGTTGGACGTCCAAGGAATTTTCAAGGCTGCTACCAGGGTGCGACTGTCAGCCACAATAAAGAGAAATATAATTCAGACCAAAATTAACAAACGTTGATACTAAATTCATGTATATTTATTCCTGGTTTCTTCGAAACATCTCACCTGTCATTTGAAGCCATCAAGAACACGACAAATTCCCCCATGTGAGCCCAGAAAATGTGGGCGAGAGAGCTCTCGATGTTTATAATAGTATTGAGCATACGAGGCTGATGCCGCAGAAAATTCAATTTATTATTATCTGAAGTGTCGCAGACAGCCTCGGTGGTTTTTACTAGGAAAGTGGGGTGATTGATGAACCCTGATCAGAGATGGCCACGACATTACTTCGGAGGTTTCAGCGTCCAGGGAAGGTGTTCAGAAGATGGGTAGAATCAGATCATGAAGATAATGTGTCTACACTGGTGTTTGTGGAGAGAAGGGGAAGAGAGAGGGAGACGAGGGAATTCAATCGAGATGAGAAGTATGTGATGCATTTGTAATGGTCCCAATTTGAGGAAGGCAGTGGTTAAGCCAATTTCAGGACAGGGGGGATCGGTTTGGTCGTGTTTTAGGAAACAGGTTTCACTCGCAGAGTATCGAGAGTAAGAATCGGGATGGTGCATAATTTATTCAAAGGCTTTGGTGTTGTAGTGTTGGAACCTTGGTGAAGTTGTGGTAAGATTTGGAGCAGTAGCAACGGATTCGATGGATCGGGAAGAGTCTTTTGGGCAGGGAGGCGAATCAGGTGTTGGTACATCAGAGTTGTTGAGCTAAGCGTTTGTGGTATTTGCCTCGAGGCATTCTCTCTTCTGTCTCTATCTTTTATACTTTCTCTGTTTTGTGTCTTTACCTCTCTAATTGCAAATCAGCGCATGTGAGCAAATCTATAGACTGTCTATCTGTTTGTCCGGAATTCCATTTGTTAGGGTCGCAACAGCACGAGTACTGCGTAATTTTCAACAGCGTTCACACTCTTTGGGTCATACAAACCGTAAAATATAGAATGGGGACGAAGTGGTGCTGCAGTGGGTTCCGGGAACCCGAGATCAAGGTTTATGCCGACCTTGACGCCCCTCGGCTCACGGATGTTCGTCAGTTCGTCGAGGAGAGTAGCTTGTCCCTGGTAGCAGGTGCGGAAATGGATCCCGTGGCAGACACGTTTCGTGGAGTTGAGAACTTTAATGGTGCGTTTAATTGGGAGGGCTTGGACAGTTCTTCGGAAAAGAAGCGACCACATAACGACTGGCGGTATTATCACAAGCACGTTGAGGTATCTTTTCCTACATCACCCTCTCCTACAACCAAGTTCTCATAGTAAGAAAGCTCAATTGTTATAACATTGTCGGGCTGTTTGGGTAGCTAATGGCTGTTTGGGTGCATCCATTACCGCAATTCATAATTTAGGCGAGGAGTATGTTACACCAGCCTATTCGCGTTCATGTCATCAATTAGGTCTGTTTGTAAGCTTTCACTTGTAGGCTAGGGTTTCAATGCCTGAATAGTACATGAGACCTTGTCGTAGTGATTGGTTCCTGCTGTCGCCTTGGACAGAATTATAGAAAGGATCATGCAATACGAGCAAGATTCGTTCTCAAGGATCCAGAACCAGAGCGGAACATCAGTGGCGAGAAAGGCGATGCACAACGCAGAAATTTTTTTAGCTTCTTTTGGAAAATTCTGCCTCAGAAAACGGTGAGCCAAAATGCAATAGAGCTTATTGAATTTGCAAGAGATTTAGGCAATGAAGACTGCACTCTTGAAGCGCTTTAATATCTCGTAGTTTACGAGATGCGATATCAATCCAAGTTTCACTTTCCTTACAGCGAGCCGCTTGGGAAATCATACTTACTCGCTGAGGTGTAATAATTTATCAAGATTGTCTCCGCCATCCTATAGATTTTTTTCCAACAGATGAGCCACAAATTAATGTGGCTGTTCAGATAGCAGATTGAATCTGTGTTTTACACAGGTGCTCTTGTTACCGTCCTCTTACGATTGCTCAGCGAGTATATGTGTTTGCTCCGGAAGGCATCAGGCAGGGGTTTGGAGGTTAACATGCCCTGCGTTATTGATGCAGGTAGATATGCCTTGTGGTTACACCTTGATTTGCAATGTTCTGAATTAGATCTTCCTTTAGAGCCAGGCTTGTAGAGTAGGACTTTGTGCATACTAGTGTTTTATGTAGGCCAGGATGGAAAATTGTTACTGATGCACCAATGATTAGCATCAGAGATGTTCAACTTTCTACATCTCCCCACACTATTCTTTCAAAAAAATATTCATCTTCTCCAGGTATTCCCTGAAAGAGTGTATTCATGACGCCTGAAGCGTTCAGTATCCAGAAATTTGAGATTGTTTCTATCCATACATATGTGACTTTCTATCCATTATGGAATCTTTGTGCATTGCAACCTGTGCAATCACCATGATTAGTCAAGGTGTTTCGAAGCATGTTAATCCATAACCATACGAAGGGGTGCGGAAAAAAACATTCTACCATTTTGGTGGGTTTTTCGTGATTGATTCCGCTCGACCCAGTACGAGACCGTCGTGCACAGCTGCCGACACGCTTGCGGGTGTCTTCCAAGGGAGCAGAGCTAGTATCTGAACACACGCGTAAGTGTGAGCGCACTTGGTCAATCTCGACTTTTAGAGCGCTGTCACTGAGTTCACGTAACATTACAGTTGTTCATTTGTGGTTGAGGATTGGGAACCCAACCACGGACCCTGATTGGTTCACAGGCTCCGGAGGAGTGGGTGAGCGAACCTGGAATCAGCTGAACGAAGAATGGCCTGCGCAACCGCTGAGGTGGTTGGTGGGTATGGCAGTTGCAACCCCGTTACCTCCCCCTTCGCTTCGCAAGTGCATTCCTCTGAAGGCTTAGATAGTGTCATTCCACCATTCTGTTAGCATGCCTACCATTCCGATTTTTAAGGGAGAGCATAGAAACGCCCTCGAACATCCGGGCCGTTTGTCTCTTTCTGCTTTTTAATTTATGCATGCGTCCTGTAAGGCCAATATAAAACAGGCCAACTTCTTGTGTGTGAGGATGGTGGCCAATTGTTCTGGTTTGGATGGCTTGCACTTTTTGCTTTAAGGACTATATCCTCGTCCAATTTTCAAGTGAAATTGCGTGTGCGTCCTTCAGGGTTCGTTCCTTGCAAGTAGATGTTACAAACGTGATCTTCTGGTCCTGATGATTTTGGCTTTACTGTTGCTAGCAAGGGTCGGATGGATACCTTTCGTCAAGGTCAATTGAATTCTCTTCAATATATAGCCTTTCTTCGGTTGTCGTGATTGATGCTCTCTTGCATACCTCTAGAGTTATGCCCTCGGGTTAGTTTTAAGCATTCCCATCTTAGTCTTTGAGCTCATTGAAAATCCTTTTTCCTTCAGATCTTACAAGTGGATCTCAACAATCCAGTACACGGAAGGATTTTTGTTTATTTTGGCCATTTTCTGATGTTCGTGAGCTGAAGGTTAGTTTGTTCGAAAGGTTGGGGTCTTCTGGAGAAGATTCGGTTCAAATTCCAGGACACAAAGACAAAAGATCACGATCATCTCGGCTTCAGTTATGCCGCTTATGGCTACTCATGTGATTAGGGCAGCCGTCAGATTACAGGAACTCCCCGAGTGATTTTGGGACGGATTGGTCAGAGATACGACAATTTATGCTGTGTCAGGATTTTTTTCGACAACATGACCCTCCGATTCCGCTTTGTCGGTGTTGTGGCAACGTATATAGTAGGGGTACTCATCACCAACTTCGTGAATGCTCTTGATCAGAACCTTTTATATGCTCAGGCCTCACATCCACAAGGCAGCAGCACTACTCAAAGCCATCCCCAGACCACTCTACCGTCAAGGTAGTTACCCAGCTATCGAAACAACAATCCCGAAAGAGCCTGAACAAATGATCAGGAAAAATCATCTGGATTTCCAATCTCCAGGTTTGGCTGCATTACTGTGCGTTATACTGCTGTTCACTAAGCTTGTGTGTGGTTATGAGCATGGATCATCGCTTGATGGTCATTTAACGGGACCGCCACCTCAGTTTGATGATACTGATCAACATCCTTTGACGAACACCGAAGCGCACGAAGCCCCACAAGCCCTCGAAGCTTTGAAGCAGTACATGCAGCAGTATGGGTACTTGAACGCAAACAGAGAAAGTACAAGCCCAATTCTGAAAGAGATGAGCGACGCCATTGGGCTGCTACAAAAGAGTTTGGCACTTCCAGTGACAAAGAAGTTGGACGCCGTCACTTATTCAGCAGTTGGGGAGCCAAGGTGCGGTCACCCAGATTACGTGCAGAGTCGATGCCACTCAACCCCGCGTAAGTTTACAGCAGTCGATGTGATCAATGCTTCGGAGGATGACTTGACAACAGCTGAGTTTTCAAACCATGGTGATCATGTGACAAGCGAAAATGAAGTGATTGCTGGTAGCGGCACACTGAGAAAGGTCACCAGATTCGCGTACTTCCCTGGAAACCCGCGGTGGAATTCCCGATTCAAGCTCACGTGGGCGTTATCTCCATCAATGGTGACGCAGCGCCTGTCAAGGGACGACATTCGGTCTGCGTTCACGCATGCATTTCAGTTGTGGGCTGCAACAGTGTCCATGTTCAACTTTACAGAAGTGCAAGATTATCATTCCGCAGATGTTAAGATCTGTTTCGTTGCTGGGGAGCACGGTGATGCCCAGAACTTTGATGGGGTGTTGGGCATCATCGCCCATGCCTTCTCTCCGGAAGACGGCAGGGTCCATTTTGACGATGCAGAATTCTGGTCTGTCGACGTGAATTCGGATAAGTCTCCGCAAGCGTTAGATCTAACATCCGTGGCTATCCATGAAGTAGGCCACGTGATCGGTCTTGCTCATTCGCCGATGAAGAAGTCGGTAATGTTTCCTAGCATTTCGCCGCGCCACACCAAGCGCGAGCTTTCAGACGATGATGTGCAAGGTGTCCGGCAGCTGTATGGATTAGCTGCTGTGAATGCTCCCCCTCCCCACTTCGCTGTGGATCATGCAAATACTGTGCGCTTAAATTTGTCCTCCCAAATCTTCCTACTTTTCTTGAATTTCATCTCTTTGATGAGGAAGCACGTGTAGCACTAAATGAGGACGTGATGGATGATCATGCAGATCTGATGCAGATTAGTTTATCGGCAACCGATGTGTGTAGACAATCTGCGATATACCTCTCTTCAAGATAGTTTTCTTCATTACGCTGATAATCACAACTTGCTAATCTCCAGAATTTGGGCGTCATTGTCTCAGTACCGTGTTGACAACAAAACGACCAGATGAAAGACATACAAGTGATAATGTCTTCAGAACCTCCAAGATTATTCTTCGGGTTTTAGGTTAACATCAATTAAAGCCAAGTTAGCAAGAGTTAAAACACAGGGGGTGTACCTCCGACGCTTTTGAGTGCCTGTAGTCTTGGCATTGGTTCATCCTTTCGTCTGGTGGCCTACTCTGGTTAACGGTTCATTTCTGTCAAGTATCCGAAGTTCTAGGTAAAATGCTAAGTTAGGTGAGTCTGCACGAGCTGGGAAATCATACAAAATTCCAGTGAAGACGTATTTTAGGATCTATTTCTCGAACCAACAGTCGATTGAAAATTTGCTTTTATAACTAAGCTACGGTGAAGCATCTTCAAGCACCACCTGAAATACCGAAACGGCACTCCTCTTACTGACGCGGGAAGAGTTCAGCAACGAAGGAGCCATTGCTTCCAAAGAAATCTTGCCTTCAAGCTTTGATTGATGAACAATCATCACGCATAGTGATAGGCATATCATTATAGAAGGTCTATCAGTGAAGTTCTAATTTTTCCATTGCACCAGGTAAACAACAAAAAATGTCCGTTTCGAAAGACATGAGAGTGTCGAGGCAAGTGTCAAGTCTAACAGAGCAGAAAATTGCAAGTGAAACTCTGTATTAAAATCACATGCAAATCACATGCAACTCTAATTTGTGCACCTTTTACATCTAGAATGCCAAATTTCATGTTACAATTTAGGCTAGTAGAAATGTAGGAATATGTTCTAGAACAACTTTAGCCAATTGATATGTTTTAATAAGCTAGTTGTACTTGTATAAGGATTTAGTTATATTGAGATATGTTTTTATTTCCACTTCTTCTTAGTTTTGATGTACACTTTTACACAAATGTAGTTGAACATTATATATGAATGATTGGCTTATTGGCTTTATCTACTTATAATTTTGGATCTTGTCTCCCTTAAGAGCTATATTGAGTACTCTAATGATAACACTTAAGTTGTTGCTCTCTTAATTTCAATTTTTTAAGAAAATATTTTTAAAATAGTCTAATGAATAATTTATAGTTTTAAGATTGGTGTAGTATAAATGCCATGACAAGTATTAAATCTACAATCTTATAAAATTTGTATATATAATTAATTCTTTACTGAATAAAATTAAAAATTTATTGTTTTTGTTTTTTTGTTTTTTTTAAAATCAATCAACAAGATATTTTTTGACTTTTAAGCAAATATATTTCAAGTAGATAATAGATACATATTAAAGTACATGAAAATATTTATTGGAATTTTTTTCAAGGACATTTATTTAGATAAATTCAAAAAATAATATAATTATATATTATTATAGAAGAAAAAAGTAAAAAAGTAAAAAGTAAAAATAGTTATAAAATAGAAAAGAATTAAAATAGTTTTTGCAAAATAAAAAGAAGTTAGAGAATTTTGAACCAAAACTAGAATATAAGTAAGGTATTGATAAGACTAAAAATGGCCTTAGTCTTGCCTCTATATATACTAATTTAAAAAAGATCTTGTGGAAGCTTCTTAAGAACCATAAGGCTTGTGGCTAAGATATAGATTGCTTCCAATCTATCTTTTTAAAGATAACAAACTTGTAAAACAAGTTTGAATAGCTACACGACATATCTATACAAGTCTAAATATTTAATCTATTTGTCAAAACTTTCCAATTTTTTTATCAATACATGTTTCTATCTATTTTTATTTATTTATTTTTACTTATTAATTAAGGCATACATTATATTATTTCTTCTTCTGGAAAAAAATTCTATAAAATAGAGACAAATTTTACTTTAAGTTAATAAAGTCTAAGATTCATTGCATGGTGTTGAGAAAAAAAATTGATCTATGTTTAGCACAAAGGTGGTTGATAAGTCCCTTCAACCATTAATAGTATCCTATACCAAGGCAAAAAGACCATCTAATTATTTGGTTATTGTTTAGGCATTTATAATTACCTTCAAAAAATATAATTTTTATTTTATTAGATATAGAATCTACCTCTAATAGTATCATTAGCATTGAAAGTCTCTTCAAAGTTTGTGGCATCAAAGATATTATATCTTATTATTTATGTAAGAAATAATATGTCTCTTTCAAAGATCTTTATTGTAATTTTAATATTGTCTTAGTTGAAACAACATAAGTGTTTATCTAATTATTTTTAAATAACAACTATTAAAATTAATCTATCAAGTGTTGGTTCTCTATGTTGCAAAAAAGAAATATAAGGATATCTTTAAACTTGTTTCTTCTTAATTTTTACTTTTGTGTCATTAATAATTGATTCTTAGTTTTAATAGATATTATTGATTAATAAATAGCAATTAGTTTTGATGTATTTGTAAGATTTTTACAAGGCTTCTATAAGCATTCATTAATATTATCTTTCTCCTAATTTATGAAATATTTTAGTTTTTTTAGAGCTGCTTTAAATCCAAGACTTCTTCTATTTTAAAATAATTATTATTATCTATTATAATAAAAAATTGTAGTACTTGATTTCTTCTCAATATGTTGATTGCCATATAAGACTTAATAAGAAATATACAAAATACAAGATGTATCTTTAAAGACTGTTACAATTGCAATTAATATGCAACTAAATTATTTTATTTTTAGATTATAAATAAGCCAAGTCTTTGATAATCTAGCATCTCACAAGGCCAATTAATCTTAATATTGTAACAAAGTACCATTACTTTATTACCAACTTTAGATGGATTTATTTATTTATTTATTATTTTATCTTTTAATCATATTTTTTTATTAATCTTAAGTATTTTTTAATTGTATCTTCATTAATGCATGAAAATAAATCATTTTCTTTTTTAAATTCTCTACTATTACATTTTTAAGTTTTAAGAAGTCAAAAGTATCAAATAGTTGATGATAACAATAATTTACATAAAAATATAGTTTATTAAATAAAAAAATGTATCATATTACTACATAAAAGTTTTTCTAATTATATAATATTTTTCTAATTTTTTTGTAATTATAAATAGTAATTTTTAAATAAATATCTAATACATAACTTAGATGTTCTATTTATCTATCAATTTGAGGATGAAAAGTTAAAGATAATTTTAATTTAAGCTTTAATATATTTAAGAATGTCTTCTAAAATCTTCATACAAATTAAGGACTAAATTATATATAATATTTTTAAAAATTCTATGATATTAATAGTTATTTAAAAAAATGGTTATTTCTTTATTTATAATAGTTTTGGATAAGGTACAAAATATATGATTTTAGTCAAAAACATTTACCATCACAAAAATAGAATTATAAGAATTTTAAATTATAATATTTTTAATAAAATTCATTGAAATTGATAACCAAGATTGTAGTATATGTAACTACAAGCAAAGAATAATTATTATGCTTGTAGTACATATAACTGTGTTTGATCTTTTGAAATATATAAGTATCTTTTATAATAAAGAATGTTATTTTAAAACTCAAATTTATTAGAGTAATTATAAATATTATTTTTAATATTAAAAAAATATCTATATATATATATATATCCTTCATCAAGAAAAATAGTATTAATTAGAATTTTTGACCTAGTGGTTCAAAGATGCAATTGATTTAGCTTAAAAAGAGCTATTTATTTTTAATTTTATACTTTGTATCTTTCTTTTGGTATAAGATAAGGATGTCTAAACAAGACATCTAATAGCTTTTTTATTTTTAAAAATGATGTATAATATTAAATAAAAATTATAAAAAAGACATACTCCAAAGTAATTGGTAGTGATTTAAGATGCAAAATAATATAAAGAACTTAAAATTTTCATGATTGGTATAAACCAAGATTAAATAAGAATTGCCTTTTAGATAGTGATGTTATTTTTAGAATGAATCTATAATAGAAAAAGTTCTTTTTTATAAATCTTATAATTAAATTTAATTATTAAGAATTTTATTAAGTAAAAGAAAATATTATAAAATCTATTAATAAAACTCATAAGTTAATTTTATACTTTAAAATATATTTTTTAAATTTTTATTCAATTCCAAAAAATCTTTAGAAGTTCAATCAATAAATAAAGCAGCAACTTGAGATTTTTTTTTAAAAATATCTAATAATAATTTATAAATTTTAATAAGTATTAAACACTATATATAATTCTTAAGATTATCTAGTTTAGAATATTTTTTATTTTATTAAAATATATTTATAAATAGTCCTTTAAAATGACAAATCTTAAAAATTTGACATGAATTGTATAAAATACACATTTTTCTATCTTAGCATTTTATCTTGCATTTCTAAGTTTTGTAGTAAAAGACAAATATATTATTATTATTCTTCCATATTTTTAGAATAGAAAAAATTCAAATAATACACAAAAAAATATTTATAAATTTATAAAATACATCATTCATTAAATATTAAAAAAAAAATAAAGAAATTGTAAGTCTAAATGACATGAAATTATATTTAAAATGATCATAAATAGTTTTTAAAGTAGTCTTTTATTTATCTAACTATTTACAATATACCAACTTATGGATTCTAGCTTATAGATTATAGCTTTATTCAATTGATTAAGAAATTTTGACATCAAATACAAAGAATAATGATTCTTAATAGATAAGTTTTTTGATCTACATAATCTACATGTATTTTTAAGGATCCATATTTTTCTTTTATAAAGTAAATTGGCATACTTGTAAGAACTTTTGATCACAAAATAAATATTTTGTAATTTTTTAGTGAATATATTTCTTTAAAGTAGAAAGTTTTAACTTAAAAAAATAATAAATTGGTCTAAATGGTTGTTGATTTCATTCTTGAAGTTTAATTATACAATCATAGGGTCAATATTTTCACAATACATCAATATTTTATTTTATAATATATCTTGACATTTCTTATAATTCAAATAAAAGTAGGTCTAATATCACTAAGTTTAAAAGATAATTTATAATATTAAAAATAATATTTGATACTTCATGTCTTTATGCTATTGTATTACATGTATTCTTGCTTGAGAATGTATCAGATACTTAGTTGCGGAAGGTATGTAGAAATGCAACAACAATCCTATCAAGTCTTATAGATAATTAAATAAATTTTAATTAATCTTTAATAATCCTAATCAAACTTTAATCAATCCAAAGTAAACTTACAAGAAGTTACAAAATAAATACAAAAAGGATATAAAAAAATCTTTAAAAAATATATAAAAAAAAAATCTTAAATAAATATTATAAATATGAATTTTTAAAGTAACAAAAAAGAAAATATTTTTGAAATATTAAAAATAAAAATTCTAAATAAATCCTAAGTAAATCTTAATTCAATCTCAATTTAATCCTAATTAAAATCTTAATAAGTCTTGATCAAATCTTATGTCAAATCTTAATTAAATTCTAATTAAAATCCTAATAAACCTTAATCAAATCCTAGGTCAAATCCTAATTAAATCCTAATTAAAACCTTAATAAATTATAATCAAATCCTAACTCAAATCCTAATAAAATTTTAATAAAATCCTAAATCTTAATAAAATCCTAATCATATTATAAATCCTAAATAAATTCTAAAATCTAAACCAATCCTAAAAAAATTATAATAAAATATTTAATCTTAATTAAATATTAAATCTTAGATTAATTTTAGTAAAATTCTAAATAAATCCTAATCAA